TGACCCACAACCCCGCCCGCCCTCCCCTCCCTGAGTCAATACAGACGAAACTACCCGACAAGCATCTCCTCCCCCCCTCGCCGCCAACACGCCTCACCGGCGAGACTGGTCTACTCTCCTATCGGGTCGACCACAAGCACAAGCGTCACGACAGACGACAACAAATAACTGAGAACACAGGAAACAAACAAGCATACACTATAAGAAGTACACAGGCAACACCGACCAACCACACCTCAAAAAACACATGCACCACAAAACAAGCACAAAGAAATCAAAAGAAATATCATCACTAACTAAAAATAATAATGATGTAATAAGGTAAAGATACAGATGCATGTCGTCCGAACTTATTCGTTTAATAATAACCCACCAACAACCCAGCACATTCATCCTTCTACACCCCCCTTGCCTCGCTAAAATCCGTAAAAAATACGAGTGTTACCCTACCACATCAAGCGCGTAGAATCTCCAAGCACCAACTCAATCCCTTTCTCGCACCACCCTCATTATCATCACACAGAAACACAACAACACCAAATAAGCGACATGGAATCCCATCACCCCCACTACCCGCCCTGAAGCACACATGACTAGCAGCCACACACCCCACCCACCACACACCGCCCCGCCCCACCCATACTACCCACCGACATTCATAAAACCTAAAAAATACCTAGCTTGATCAATCCGTCTTATAGGACCAAACAATCACACAACCACATACACTCCAACCCACAGTCATACCACTAAATGTGTTCAGCGTATCAAGTGGATATATGTACACACACCCTACATTCTTTTGCGAAAAAGCATACGATGCCTTCACACCTCAGTGCGGGGGGACGGAGAGCAGGAAGCGGAGGGGACCAGCGTCATGTTGCGGACATGATTGTTACAGTGGATGACGGGAGGGGGTGGGGTTGTCGAAAGTCAAAGATGAATCCTTGATAGTGGGCCAAATTTGAGCCCCGAGCACGAGGGAGGAGATGACAGGTCCACGGTGCCGACAAGATCAAGCGAGATCGATGGCCAAATGCGAGTCACTAATTCTGCTGGGTCTCCCCAGACCCAACGCCAAATTTATACAACCTTTTTTTTTTAGAGACCTCAGACTGTGGCAAAATGTAGAAAATCAGTTTGTAGTTGTTGATATAGCTGCTGTGGAAGAAGCCTTGTTCCGATATAAAAACTAGAGCGTGAGTTATTGTTAATATTGAATTTGAAACGGGTCCACTGGAGACCCGAACACAACAACTAAGGGTTAACTAAACAGCGCCTTCTGCCTTTTCACAGCACAATGGGTCTAAGTGTATCCCTGCTCATGCTGCCCTCTGTCTCTCACACCACAGTGTCAGGGTGGAGTCTGCGCAGTCTTCTCCATCACAGCTCCTTGCGCTGCAGCGTCCTCAGGCTCTCAGCTGTCCCAGGCGCGCGCGTTCCCCAGCTCCTCCAGTACCTGACCCAGCTCCTGGTTCACACCTCTCGCTGCGCTGCGGCCTCGCTGCAGCTCATGCTCAGGACTCTCCTCCTTCTGACGAAACTCTTCCAGGGACGACCTGGTAATTCATTAATAACCGGTGGAGTTCAATCAAACACCTACATTGAAAATGAGGGGCTGCATGTGGTGAATGTGGCACTTGACGTACTTTGCAGGACTTGGTGTACTCTTCTAAGCTTGCTCTGCTCTGCGTGTGAGATCCTGCAGCTGAGTCTGGTTGCCCTGATGGCAGCCTACGACAGACGATGTTTCAAGAGTGGTAACAATTAGGCATCTATAATATCTTTTTTATTCCTGTGTTTCCCGGTGCGCTGCAGGGTTTCCTCTAAAAAGCCACTGTACCAGAGTTCCAGTAGATAAATTTTTTGGCCGTCAAAATGTCCGTTAAAGTTTAAATCTTCCGGACAAAATTTGAAAAGGCCGGTCAAAAGGTCTTTGTTATTTATTGAGCTTTAAAACAAATTGATATGATTTGATATTAAACAAACTAATTATAGTAGATTAACTACATTATTCAAAAGTGTAACTTCCAATAACACAGGAATAATAAACGGAGCGCTCTCTCCCTTAGACTTAGACAAGAATAGTCAATTCTAATGTTAACACTTAATGTGGAGAAAAAGATGTCCTGTATTAGAGCTTTCGGCTACCAAGCCCCGTTCCTCTGGAATCAACTTCCAGTGACGATTAGGGAGGCAGACAGTGTCCACACATTTAAGAGTAGGTTAAAGACTTTCCTCTTTAGTACAGCGTACAGTTCAGACTGGTTTTAAAAACCCCTTTTATACATCCTCATGGACCCTTCGTTTTATAGAATTGTATTTATTGTACTCTAACTGTATTTGTGTCATTGTGTTATGTTCCTTTTTAAATTGGTATTTTCACATTGATCTTGTAAGATACGTTTGTTGTTTTACATGGCCAATTGTGTTTGTTGACTTGTGAAGCCCTCTGAGGCAAATAGGATTTGTGATTTTGGGCTATATAAATAAACTTGAATTGAATGGCTTTTGGAGACGTTTACATTTCAAAACAACTTATAGTGTTGCTTCCATACAGTATATTTACATGCTGACTTATACGTCAATATCAACCTTCTCCTTGGCTGGTGATTATCCTCAACAGAACTGTTTTTGTTTTTTCAGATTCAGATGAAAAAGAGTTTGAAGATGACGCTTTGTTACAAGTCCTTCGCAAGCAGAGAAAATGGGTAAAGGAGCAGATCAGGTAAAATGATCATCTTAAATGTAATTGTTCAGTCATGTAAGATTATGTTCCTAGGAAGATGCTCATTTGAAAAATAATTTGAAAATGAGGCTCTTCTAATGTTATAAGAATCCTCAAAACAGAGCACCCCAAATTCCAGAAAAATAATCTACTGTATTTTTCCTTTCAGTGATGTGGACTCTATATTAAATGAATTCCAGGACGAGCGAGAAGTAACTTGACCACTGACAAGAAAACACATGTATGCCTTTTTTATTTTATAAAGAAATACAATTTATTTTTGAAAACATATTTCCACATTAAAGATTTTGGAGATGTTTTTGTGTGCATCATTAATAACAATAACAATACAGGGATCTTCTTTACAAAAGTTGCGCACATTGAACTATGAACGCAGAATATTTACAAAGACTGGTTCTTTTAAACATCGTGTAAGATTGATGAGTAATAGCAGAGCGGTATATACAAACCTAAGAGAGCAGGGAATATTAGAACAGCACCAGGAACAACACATGGGCGTTTTGGCACGTGCATGCATGAGTGTTGCTGTGACTGAAGGAGCCCTCAAGTTATTTCTGTATGAGTGTGTTTTCTTAAAGGCTTATGTCGCACTTATTTTCATACATGGTGAAGACGGCAGAAATGTTAGTGTTTGGTATTATAAGGCATTATGTCGGTATGCCGGAGTCCTCTGTTTGCAGCATCGGTGCAGAAATAATAAGGATGCCTTCTGGAGAGACCGCTGACTCCAAAGCCATGGTGTCCACTCCCTTTGGGATTCGGTAGCGACGGTTGAACTGCCGTGTTGAAACTCCTGCACCATCCTTCAAAGAGCACAATGAATTCAAGTTTTGAGGATCTTAAATATTGTTAACAAACCTCCCTAAAACTTACTATGTTCCACCCAGAATACTAACCTTCTTTTCTTCATGCTTTCCTTGCACTTCCACAAAGTCTCCTGTCACTTTGACCAGGAGGTCCTCTGGGTTGAAGAGCTTGACATCAACTTGAACTCTAAAACCGTTGTTGTCACAGTTCACCTACCAATAAAGGTGTAAACACTTGTTAATATTTAGAAATAAATATGTTTTAGCATAGTCAATACACCCAAAAGCCCTTTTTTGCTATCGTGCATTAAACCTAAAGGATATTTGAGTGTGAAAGTTGTTTTTGACCTTGGAAACAATTAAAACATATTCATTTTATATATTTTTCTCAAAAGCATCTCAGGAGAGGTTGAAAAGCTACTTGGTGGATATACTTTTCAACAAAAAAGGAAAATAACTTATTGAATAAGTTGGTTAATTGTTATTTGGTATTACTAAATATATGTTTCAATATTGTTGTGTGTCCATGCAATTATATTGTTCTTAAACAGTTAATAAACCATACTAACAGCTGTAGTAAGTTTAAATAACCTACCTCTGCAGAGCTGGTTTTATCACTCTCTGGAATCAGTAATTTTGGAGACCATTGATAATTTCCATAAATCCCATTCAGCCGAGGAATAAGAGGTGGTAAAACCTTCTCCCATGGGATACCACCATCTGGCAGAGAGGGTGGCAGAATGAAGTCCATCTCTAATCAGTAGGAAGAGAACGTGTTTAAAAAGGAGAGTTGACTTCCCAGCACTTGAGGCTACAAACAACTCTGACCACAGCTAAGCTTACCTCTTCTTAAATTATCTGACCAAAAGAGTGTGCAAGCAGGAAAGGACGCCCCGTGTTTCACTGCGTGTGTTCCCGTGTCAGTCCTAAAAGAGGTACTGCGAGTACAGATGATGCCCTGGTGCGCCCGTCTGTCTGACCCTTTATATATACAGTCTATGGACTGACCCCAAGCTGCTCGCTCACGGGATGCTTGACGTGTCTGACAGCTTCGGTGTTTGTTTTATACTGGAGTCGCATACACAGTGGGGGCACCTTGCCTCTGTTATGTTCCGGATGCGTACCCTTGGGTGTTGAGGCGGGGCCATATAGGATAAGGGTGGTGTACTTTATTGTTTTGGGAGTGACGCAGCTGTTGCGAGTTTACGGCAATTAACGTGTTATTCCCTGTTAACAATATTGTAGTCTGAAGTGTATTCCTAGGGTTTATGAAACAGAAACAAACTGTTTAAGTTTTCTTATGACTTACAGAGTTGTGAAATACATGCTCAAGGTCTGTTGTCAAGGAAGGTTTATCCAAAAATAAGTTCAAAAGGGATGTTGTTGACCCCTCGTGAGCTGATGTCAGACAGACAGTGACAGCAGGGACGTCCCTAACACATGCCTGAGCGCGTGTGCTTTCACCCCATCCATCACTCTGTGTGAAAGAACTTGTGAGGTCATTTACCTAAGTAAATGTAGTAATGTCACAGTACTGTCATACAAATACAACTCCTGCACTCAATAAAATAAGCTAAATGTACTTAGAAGTATCAAAAGTAAATGTCCTCATAATGCGGAAAATGTGCTCCTGTGGGTATAATATGGTGTATTCATATTAGCACTTTAAGTCAGTATGGGGCCTAGACCACACTAATCTATAATACATCAAATATTATAAGCTTATTTTTAATGTTTTATGTAGAGATGATCTGAAATGTAACTAGCTGTCAAATAAATGCAGTGAAGTAGTATCAAAAGTGTTTTGAATACAAAATAACATGAAATGAAAGCCTCTCAAAATTGAACTTGAGTAGTACTTGAGTAAAAATTCTTAGTAACTTTCCATCACTCCACACATGAAATGATGTCCTTAAAAGGGTTCATTAGTTTACTCCTCGTAAATCAGTGTTATTAAGGAACTCCCTGCATCATAAAAGTACGTGCTGATACTCCTGACTTGTTCCTGGCACATTCCGAGTGAATTTATCAGAGCACATGTTCTCCCTGTTAGTAATGTGGAACCTGTCACTTAAGCTTTGACTGGAGTGACTAAAAATGGCCCCGATCATGTTATGACTCACATAGGATGACAGGGAAGTGGCGACATTTGGAGAGATTAAGTTATTGGGTTTCACAACAGGCGCCAGACTTTAGGAGCCTTCCGTAACAATGCAAAACATTGGGAGTATATAAAGGAGATAATAGCTCATGATGAGTCCCCCAACATTAAGTCCATAATAGATCCCAGAAGAATAATGATATTCCAATATGATAATGAAGGTCTAACAAATACAGTATGGTATAGACATTGGAGGTTGGAGGCATTATGGACTTTTGTTTTTATTTATCATTTCATACACAAGTAAAAATTGTTTGGGTTTCACAAACACACACAGACATTAAACTCTACTATAAAACAAGAAAAGATATTAGTGAGCTCACTTGAAAAAATAACCCAAAGAATGTTGTCAAATGCCTGGCAAGCACAAAAAACTGACTTCGAATCCTACGGTATTTATATTTTAAAGACATAGTTGGATTGATTTTGTTCACATGATTCAGCCATTACATCTCTCTCCGGGAACCAGACAAATCATCAGAATATTTCACTGTTAAAGAAGAGAAAATTCCTTGGTCCATTATAATGGATCATTAGTTATTTGACAAAAATGTTTTAAGGAATGCCCAGAGGAATTGTAAAGGACAGGTAATCTCCCACCTCCCCCCACTCTGCTCTGTAGTGCTGGAAAATCGTAATCCACGTGGTGAGCACTGTGACCCAAAACAGCAACCCCAGTCCTGACCGCTTCACATCTAGAGGAAAAACACACAAGAGACAGGTATGTCATTTCATGCAGGAGTTTGCCTTAAATTGTCTATAATAAAACAATTCTCAGGAAATTGCAAATATTACTTGAAAATGAAAACTGTTATATATCAACGGGGTTACCAGTTCAAGTTTGGCAAATATTCAATTTCTCAATACAAAAAACTACAAAGACATTCAGTCATAATTGCTGATTTGAACAAAACTCAAATGTAAAGTTATGCATATTATGTTTTACTTAATAGGCTTACAATTAAGGATAGCAATTATTTCAACAATATATAATAACTTATATCACACATCGCGTCGTGTTTTTTAAGAGTTCCACTGTAAACAAAATCCATATGTTCTTAGAAATGTAAGATCTCATCTATGTGGATTCAATAATAAATTACATTTTTAAATAAAATAGGAAATATTATTTTGACAGTCATCCCATCTCATCATGATTAACAGACCAGAACATATATTGTGACTTTATTCTTTCAATTTGACCAAGATAGAACAAAAAAGCATACATAGTGTAAATTGTGTGTAAACAATTAGGTAAGAAAACGTACTCTGGGATTTTACTGGAGGTTCTAACTATATGTAATGAATGAATAATCCTCAGGTTTTAAAGTAGTGGTTCTGATACTTACATGTTTGGATCTGGAGCTGTTCAGTATACACAGGCTTTAAAAATGCCTCTTTAAAGAACCAAACAACATTCACCAGCCACAGGAATGGTAGAAAAGCAAAGCCAGCTGAGAAGAAGAAGATGGAAAAAAACAACATCAATGACAATACAACGGCATATTACCACTTAATATTTACAAAAATGTGCTTAAATGCTCATGCTTAGAATCGAGTGAAATTTTGAACGTATTGAGGCATGTGTGTAGCATGTAACAGTGAAGATAGAATATAAAATGGTTTGCATCGACACTTCTCCGGTCCTGGCATTCATGTTTATGTATTCTTACCTAAATAATATTTGCGGCATAGGCCGAGTTTCTCGTCATTGGGCACTCGTTCCAGGTTCATGGTGAAATTGTGTGGATTCTATATCAGGGAAAAAAATAGTTAAGAGTGCAGAACCAGAAAGACGGGAACACTTTAGTTAAAATATGATACTGGTAATTTTGAAAACAAGATCGTCTACTTTGAAATACATGATAAGAGCTAAATGATCTTTACACAATTGTATAACATTGAAACAATAAAGCAGTATGCTGATTGCATTGTTTGTCACATGACTTCACCCAAGGCTACCGTTAGCATTAGCTGAGCAATGTAGCATTATGTAGTTCCGACTGTTGCAAACAGTAGCAGTAACTTACAAGACCTTACTGACCTTACTCTCAAGGTCCTGGACAATGTCATTTAAAAAAGATGTACATGTGACTAGAATGTTGTACTTTTGTGTGATTATTTACCTGATATTAGTAAGGCCAAAAAAGCCAGAGAATCGTCGCTACTTAACTAAATAGGAACAACAACCAAACACTTCCTCTTTCTTCTTCTGATGCGCATTCTTCTTCTTCTTCTTCTTTCTTTTTCTTTTTAGTCAAGTCTCTGCTTAACTCCTCTGTATACCGCCACCTACTGTACCGGGAGGTGTGCTTCACAATCTGGTCATACTCGATCGTAAAATAAATTCAATAATTCAATAAATAACGTTTTTATTTATTAATGTAAAGATGATTACTCAACTTTCTAAAATCTTCCTCATAGCCGTATTTATTGTAGTGCATGCTTCCTTTTATTTTTCATCATCAGCTTCTTCTGGTGACAATACAGATGCACACTGCCATCTGCTGTGTTGCAATGTCTTTAAAACCAACTTTTTCACTCTAATTCTCTGCATCTATATCCCATTCCCTCTGTCAGATGGTTGTTATTGTTATACTGCCATGGTAAATTAAGACTAAGCTATCCTTGCAAGTATAGGCCATGTCAATGTTACCATTTAATTCATATTTAATTTAAAGTGTGGCCTTCTTTTTATAGTTTACTATCATAGGAACACTTTTAAATAAACAAATGGCATTTCTAAATACTGAATAGTTGATTTTCAGCAATCCAAAATGTATTAGCTATTTGATTCTTGAAAGTTCACATTGCCCCCTTTGTTGAAACTGGGTTGATGTATTTAATTAACTAATCGGTTCTTTAAGGCACACACTTTGTTTTCATATGCTGGTGAATTTTGAAGGCTTGGGCTGGTTAAACCATGTAGACTGCAAGAAAATAAATAACCAAAATACACAACAGTGTCGATAGACTTGTCTTAAATCCACTAGAAGGTTTTTATAAATATATCGTTTTAAAAAAAGTTGCAATACAAACATTATGTCTTAATTTAATTAATCAACATGCAATTCCTCAAATAGAAATATATGTGTAGTGAAGTGACATAATCTGATATGTGAAATATACACATTTCTGAATGGAAATCTGAACAACAATCACCACTAGAGGTCAACCCACCCCTCCTATTGGAGCCTCGATGTAAAAACTCACTTTCCCATACATCATTGCGCGCGCGCCCCCCCTCCCATCTCGCGCCTTCCCTCTTGTCTCTCCTCGAACTGCTAGCTGTCGGTGTGTGTTGTTGTTGAAGCAATGATGGCGGCAGCGGGATGCGGATCAGCAACCGCGGCTGCCGTAGGAGGCCCAGGTGGAACCGCTACGGCCAGAGGTCGCTTCCCCGGTCGGCCTTGGTCGTCACGCAGTCGTTTGCGCTCAGAGAAGCGATGGCAACTTGGACGATCAGGCTCAGAAGCTGATGATGTGACTAACGGAGGGCCAAGGCCCGCAAACCTGGTCCTTTCGTTAAACGATGACCAGTCTCACTTGCGCTTACTTGGGATAGAGGCGGGCCACCAGACCCTTGGCCAGGCTGGATACAGCTCTAGTGGGAGTGAGGAGGTGAGGTCCCAAACCGAACCAGGAGTCAGTACCTTTATTTCATCTTCTCATATTTTGTGTGATTGTTATATGTGCAAGTATGCGTGTTTTTCAAAGCAGTGTGACTGTTTAGCACCATGGAGAAATGTCAACATCTCTTAGCTAAGCTAGCTTTAGCTTTAAGCTTGGTAAGCTAACATTACATGCTAACTACGGTTAGCATAGTGCTGCTTTCCATGACATTTAAAGAACAGCCGCAACACAAAATACCACTTCAGCAAAGCAGCTGAGTAGTTACATTAACACTGTTTCCCCAATTGCATAATGTAGGTTAAAACATTAGTCTGCAAACACGAATAGAGTATGCTTTTAAAATTCCTATGAGTAAGAAGGCAAATTCGTAAACAATGATTGCACTTATTTTATTTATGGCCCGCTCGTTATCGGGCCAGAGTAGCAGCTAGCTAACAGTAGCGAACACAAAGAACGGGAGAGCTAGCGTCTCTCTACACTGCACAGCGGCTAACGGCTAACTGCTCTGTTTTCATACGCTATCCTGATGCGGACACTTTTATCTGCTTCACTAGTTTAAATAAGACATTACACACACATAGTCTATGACCCATTTGCAATGCTTCACTTTACCATGCGATAAACCATCAGAAAACTAAGTTGTGATTTCGTTAGCTTTTCTGCAGGCACAAGTTTAAATGCTCTCGAGAGGAGGAGGTGGCGGCTAATTGTTAGCTGATGTTACCAAACACGACAGGTTTGAATGGTGGTGCAGAAGTGTGCAAAGCCAGTTGCACCTTTGTTGTTATAACTGAAAGCGCCCCACTATTACACTTTTAGCGTTTGTAGTTCGTGTATACTACTGATTCATAACAGTGGATTGGTTTGTAGGCTCTTAGGTCACAGCTGCCAGCATGAGGGAGATGTATAGTACTTGGAGGGAATCGTAATTACAGACCTACCCTTTCCCTACAGTTGCTTGTAGGTAGTGTAGGTGTTCGTTTGTGAGCTATGAAAAGGTTGTAGAGTTTTAATCTTGAATCGGGTGGTAATTGATATAGATGCCATGTAAATGCGTTTCTGGCTGTTTCCAACACAGAACGTATTTATGTTTAGTGTATGAAATTAATCACAATATTTGTTTGAATATGAACAAATTAAAAGCATTTTCTGTAATTGATAATGTTGCTGTCAAGTCTTAACTAAATGATTATTTGAGAAAGCCTTTTACTAATATGCTAACATAACATACATATTGAACTATCAGAGACATTTGCTTTGACCTACAGTGTAGTGGACACAATTAATGTAATGCTCTTGAAAGATCTAGTGTTAAAAAAAGCATTTTAGTCATTGTGTTTTGCTGACAGTTTGACAGCCCCAAGAAGAGTGGTGTTTCTTTGCTCCAAGTGTTAATTATCTATTTTTACTTTTTAAGGGGGACGACTTCAGAGGATTTGAAGCTGAGAAAAAACGTTCCAAAGGATCTGTATGTTCACGACAAAACCCTTCCAAAGGTAAAAATAAAGTAGAGCACAAGACATACTATTTGTTGTAGTTATTTAATAACACAATACATTATATGTTTTTCTTCTATTCATTGTTTTGCATACACTTCAGGAGCCATGGATTTAGTAATATTCAACATTGTCTGTTTTGTAGGGGATGCTGTCAGCACCAAGTCTAAACGACAAAGTGAGAAGCTACCGCTTAAAACACCAGAGGTGGAGGCCACACCTGATGATGTAAAGGATGTCAAATCTTTGGAGGAAACAAAAAACGTATCGCCTGAAACAGAGCCTGACAAGGATTACAGGAAAGGTTCAAAAGGAAAAAACCCTATGGATCGACTGTCAACTAAAAGAGGAGCCTCATCAGCATCACCCAGGATTACTATAAAGTTGGTGGCTAAAAAGAAAATCAAAAGCGTTACAGAGCCTCTAAAAAAGTTTGCAAAGAAGTTGAGGATAAAAGGAATCCAGGATCAGCCTAAAGCCAAGGAGATTCAGGGTGACCAGATTTCAAGTGCTCATGTCAAATTAAAAACTGAACAGCATGAGGATAAACAAGGCACAGAAGATAAAGGAGGAGGGGCTTTACCTACAAGAAGGCGTGGGAGATCTGCTTCAAAGACATCTGAGCCTGTCTCCCAGCCTAGCGCCAAAGTTGTGGTTGATGACCAAAAATTGAAAGAGAAAAAATCAGCCGATAAATTCGACACTGTTAAGGAGAGCATCACTATGGAGCCAAAAACAAATGCAAAGAAATTAAAGCATAAGGAAATAGTGACAGAGCAAGTTTCCGAAGTTAATCAACAAATCACTCGTAGGAGCAATAGAGTCTTTAACCCACTCACTAAAAAAGCATCAGAGATAGCAGCTGAACCAGAGAGTCTGAGTAAAAGTGATACACTGCTGGGTGAGTCAAAGCCAGAAGTTTCTCCAACAGGGGAGACCAAACCATCAATGAGAAGTGACGGACGAAGGCAAAGCAGAAGGCTGAATAAGGATGTAACAGTGACAGAAAACCATGGATCACGACAATCCAGTGACAGTTTGCCTTTAAAAAGCGAGGATACATGGGTCCCAAGTTTCAAGTTGATGAAGGTCAGAAACCCAAAATATGATGCGCAAGCCAGTAAGAACAACTCGACTCGAAAGAAAAAACACCGAAAGAAGTTTATCTGGACTTTAACATTAGTGAAGGGAGAAGGTCCAACCCAGGGTGCTGTAAACACCGTTAAAGTAACAGAGAAGACCGTTAGTGAAGTAGTTAATTCTGCTATTTGTGACCCCATTGTCGACAAGAGTTTAGAGACGGTGGATCAGAAATCAAAACTGGATAACTCGGCCCCACAAGAGAGCAAAAGCTTAGATAATGATGATAAGGGATCCCAAATCAAGGCTGAAGTGTCAACTGAGGATCATTCCACTCTACAAGCGGAAGTTGAAGTGGACCAAGTACATGAAACACCTTCACAAGACATTTCTAAAATGGATAGCGGGAAAGTTCCACCTCTTCAGATCAAAAAGGTCTCTTCTCCTGGGAAACATAAAAGTTCAAAGCCGTCCTTTTTAATTCAGCAAGTTAGCCCTGTATCTGAGAAGAAAGAGGATGCTCCGAAAGATCCAAGTGAGGGTAATGAGGATAAATCATCATGTGCGGTTACTGAAGTCAGCCCAACTAGAAGACTAAGGAGAAGGACATTAAGCCTTGATTCACCACAACCAAAGTCTGTTGCTCATAAGCCAGTGACCACTCAGAAAAGGAGGCTTAGAACGAGACCGAAGGACAAAGATACGCCACAGGTGCAGGTTGAAGATTCCGCTCAGGCTTCAGCTGAAGATTCCCACTCACACGGTCTTCCCAAAGACTCTTTTCAGGATTTGGCTGGCCAGCCCTCAGAGGTGACCAGTGAAAACACCACGGAAGTTCCTGATAAGGAGACCTCAAAGGTCGCTGACGATTCCTCACAGGTGCCAGTTGAAGTTTCTCAGCAGAAGGTGGAGGATCAGGTCGGACCGCAGATGAAAGAGGCCAAACCATTCCCTTTGCCTTCCAAACCTAGGAAATGTAGAAATAATAAACTAGGGAAAAAGAGATCAGTTAAAAGGAAGAAGGCTATTGTCTCTCCTGAACCTGCAGTCAGCACAGAATTGAGTATCACAGAGTCTGTGCTAAAGGATGACACTCAGCCTGTAGCAACAGAAGTAAGCCAGTCCCAGACAAAAGATTGCGCCTTGCCTGAGTCAAAACAGGACTCTGTGGAAGAAGAGCAGATACAGCCTTTGGTAAAAGAAGAAACCGACATTCAATTGATAGATAGTCAACCATCTTTGGTGGCAGAAAGTCAAAGACGTGATCCAAAAAAACGACGCTCAAAAAGGAAATCTCGCAGAAAAGTTAAAAAGCGACGTAAACATTTGATTGGGCAGCGTCAGAAACACAGGCACAGAAACACAGATGGGAAGTTTGCTCCACTTAAATTCTCTGAAAGTCGGAGATTTGTTGAGGGGGGCGGTGACTTTTCCTCCCCCTCATCAACCCTGAGCTCCAAACTTATTGGAGTGCAAAAAAGGTGCAAACGAAGACCTTCAGGCCTTCATTTTATTGGGTCCAAAAGGCCAAGACCACGGTCTAAAATAATTTCTAAACTGATGGAATTTGGCCTTGACAGTGATAGTGTGAAGCAGGAAGAAACAGACACATTGGTTGATGGGGGACATGCAGATGCTGTAGATGCCCAGCCCGGTAAATCAAAGTTTGCTAAAAACATCAAGCACTTCATTATGCCTGTGGTTAGTGCCAGATCCTCAAGAGTGATCAAGACTCCGCAAAGGTTTATGGATGACGCTGGAATGTCTGTATTGCCTCGAAGAAACTCGCCAAAGAAGGGTTTACAACTAGGCTTGCCAATGCGACCGGGAAAGAGGCGAGATGATTCCACGGACAGATCAATATCCCCAATCCTGCCGATTGACGAGGAGGACATATTGAGTGAAGCTCAGTTGGATGTTGATCTGTTTTCAGCTCAGGACCTGGAGGACGACATTGATATAGCTGAAAGCCTTTTTTCTGAGAGAAAAAGGGGCAAAAATCAAAAGAAGTCTCTTTTAAAGAACTCTTCTTTCAAGTGGCATGTGCCAGAAGAATTAAGTGAAGATGCGTATACACTGGACCAAACGTCAGAGGACAAATGTGAGGATCTGTTTTTATCTACAAAAGTTGATAAGCCAACAGAACGATCATCTGACCTCCTGGGTGCCCCTAAAAAGAAAAGTTCCCATAAGTTGAATAAACAAGCTGCTCATCTCAAGATTTATCAAAGGCCAAAGAAGGCACACACAGGACTTCCCAAAAGCAAACACCCGACAGAGACAGATAGTGTGAGCAAACCTGTTCAGCCTCCCGTTGATTTAGCCGAAGGACTTGATGATGAAGCCATGAGCATCAGCCTGAGACAACGGAATACAAACGCAGGGAAGGCCAAATCCAAGCTCAAGATAGAAGACCTCGACTCTCCTGGAGTGGTGAGGAAAGTCTCTGTTTGTGTCAGGTCCACAAACTCAAAGACGCTTGTTCTACAGCACTGTAAAGAGGAGGATACTGCAGGGACTACCTCCCTCCACTCAGGTAAGCAACATCATTTAAAAAGCATCAGATAATTACATTATTTTTTATTTAAGCCTATATTTGTTTTCTGACTTTTAACTGTACCAGAAAATGACATAAATGACTGTTGTTTCTTCAGGAGATCAGACCGCAGACGATGGATCTGTGGAGAAGGGATCCTCCCAAAGAGCGCGCCTCACTGGTGCAAATAAAAGAATGTTCAATCTCCTCAGAAAAGCCAAGGTCCAGCTCATTAAGATTGACCAGCAGAAACAGCTCAAGTCAACAGGGGTAAGGTCATTTTGTCTTTGTAGACTTCAATTGTTTATTATTAGATAACATCTATGTAAAAGAACCTTGTGTGGATGACGGAAATATCAACAAATGATAATATGAGAGGGGATTTCAATGGTTTTCTGATGCTTATATTGATACCATTTTTGTGTCTGTTAACCCTGTAGCTGTTGTCTGGCCCGACTGGCGCCAGGTCTCGAGATGGGACCAATAAGAGACAAAGGAGAAAGCAGAGGATTCCGCTTGATTCTGGTGTTTCAGTCAAGACAGAGCCATCTCAAGGACAAGTAAGTGTACGGATCAATATACCTGATAAGGCAGAAATCTTAAATCCGTCTCTAGGATTAAGGCTTTATTGTTTTTAATCATCTGCTCTAGTTGTAAACTAGACCAAAGCAAACACGCTCTGCTCAGTGTACTTTACTGAAATATATTCCTAATGATTTTGTAAAAGAAGTAATCTGTTGATTCCAGCTTGTTTACATCAGTGCGTCTTTATCTTCTTTTTAATTCTCCAGCCGCAGCTCATTTCCCCGGTCTGCCAGGAGTTCCGTAGAGCAGGAGGTCCACGTATCAAACACGTGTGTCGTGCTGCATCCGTGGTGCTGGGGCAGCCTCGTGCCTTGGTACCGGACGACATTCCCAGACTGAGCGCCTTGCCTCTGCACGAAAGAACTGGCATTTCTCCTTCAGCCATCCTTAAAGGTAGGTGTAAACTGATTGACTCATTACACATGCTCATCATACTTCTTTCAACTTGAATGTGACGAATTGTTGGCAGAAGCAACTGTAGTGGTAGACCAGAAGATAGTATTTTGGAGTAGTAGAGAAACTTAATTTCTTTAGCAGAATGAGTTGAAATTGAATCATTTATGATCAGTGTTGTATAAGTGCTGTTGATATTCTGTTCTATTCTATTCAAGAAAAGACAAGACAATTTTGAAGGACAAGATATGGGTCACGCGTTGTAAATCAATGTCTTAATCAAAGTGAATGTCTTTTGTTGTTGCAGATGTTGGGTCTCCCTCTGAATCAGACAGTCCTGGGCTGTCAGATCAAAAGGTCACCAAGGTCAAGAAGCAGTCGAATTTTGTGAAGAGGAAAGGACTCGGGCCTTTCGGGTACCGCTCTCGGAGGTGTGGAACATGCAAAGGCTGCAACCACGAGGACGATTGCGGCCGGTGCATGAACTGTCTCGACAAACCCAAGTTTGGTGGTCCCAACACCAAGCGGCAGTGTTGCGTGTAAGTTGACCTATATTTAATTCTTCATTGAAATAGATTTCATCTGAGTGTTTCAAAATAATTGACAATGTGTTGTTTTTCTATCAACAGATACAAGAGATGTGATCAAATTGAAGAGAGAAAAGCACGCAGATTAAGTGGAAGAACGGCACCCAAAGGTATTTTTTCACTTAATGTGCAAGCTTTGTGTTGATATAATACTGTCATAGCCTTCAGCGTGTCAGTTTAATGCCATGTCTCTTTTTCTGAAGGGGCTTCTAAGCGACGGCGACCCTCCTTCAGCGGAGGTCATTCGAGTAATGAAGAAGGTATTGAGGGTGCTGCAGACTCACCATCTGGTCTCCATGGCGACGGCCACAGTCCATCTGTAAGGAAGCAGCCAAAGCGTGTTGTGAAACCCCGCGTCTACTTCGACCTGGTGGACTACGACTCTGATCTAGATGACAAAGCATTCTCCAGCTCTACCTCGCCTGCCAGGAAAAGAGGCACAGGATCCCGTTTCAATCAAGGTAGAGTAACATTCAGGAACCAGATGGCATGGATGCTTTATTCATAATCCACATTATTATTTCTATTATAAACACCAAAGATAGAAGGTATTAACTGACATATATTGTAGAGCTGTAGTCTTTACAATCACCTTTCTTTAAATGTTATTATTTTCACTAGTTAGAGTATGAAGCATGCAAATCTGCCTTTAAAAAAAAAAAATTGTTTTGTTTTTCTCTTGCCCTCTAAAGACTTTGTGTCATTGGATGGAATCCTTGGAGACATTTCAGATGAAGAAATCAGACATCGGAAGTCCAGTTCACACCGCGTATCATCTGTTCGGCGCAAACCTGAGAAGGTGAGACATTAGTCATTTTTGCTGGTGCTAATGCTATGGTTGGATTACGAAACTTGCACGTGTCTTTGATTTGCTCTGTAAAACAATAAGTGTGGAAAAGCGTGTGCTGTCCAGAAGGGGTATACAATGTTGATTAGTCGTCATTTATAGCGTATTCCAAAAAGACAGCAACCTACAAATTGTGTCTCTTAGAACTCTTAAACTGCAGCTTTTCACCGAGTGAGGTGCAAGTCATCTACACATTTCTGCATCCGAGGACACATTTGACGGCTCGGCTGCTTACAGGAACACGCAAGCATGAACACATCACACCTATTCTGGCTTCCTGTCCATTTTAGAGTTCAATTTAAGATGTTATTGTTTGTTTTCAAATCGCTTGATCGACGGGTGACCCGCAAAAAAGGTGATTCGCGGGTGGTATTTTTTCAAACACTTTTTTCCGAGTTCGGTTCTGGGTAAAACAAAGATGATGCGGGTCGGGTCGCGGGTGTTGCATAATAAATATATTTAAATAATAATAATTTAGTTTAATGTTTAAATCCTCAGACCTCTCCCTCGCGGGACCGTGCATAATCATAACCTCTGCAGCGCATCAATCTGCTTCTTAGCGCGCGACATTCTGAATGGCTGAGGTGAAGCTCTCTAGCGGAGAATACAGCATTTTCCAACACTTCCTCAAGAGCGAAATCCAACGTCTGGGAGGCTTTTGGTGTCCTCCTAGATGGAGAAAATAACCAACATCCCACGCTTTTTGAGAGAAATATGCAACTGCGTGTGTTAATAATTGCACGTTTTCACTGCTCATATATATATGCGGGTTCGGGTCGGGTTGCGGATCCTGTGCCGACGGGTCGGGTCGGGTTGCGGAACTAATTGGCAATATGTGCGGGTAGCGGGGCGGGTTCGGTATTGCACGTCGCGGGGCGGGAGCGGGTCTTGAAAATCAGACCCGTGCAGGACTCTGCTCTGTACATCTCCGACCTCCTAAAGGTGTACACCCCCTCAAGGGCCAAAGCCCTTGAGGGGGTGTACACCTTTAGGAGGTCGGAGATGTACAGAGCAGAGTCCTGCACGGGTCTGATTTTCAAGACCCGCTCCCGCCCCGCGACGTGCANTTCCGCGGGGTGGGGGAGCCGGGGGCTCGGATCCTTGTCACTTTTTCATACCTGATGAGTTTGCATCCCTGTATGTTAAAAAGCCTCAGTCACCTTAATTAATGTAATAAAAACATGTCAGGTCAGTAACACTCAAAGCTAAATGTGCAATACCATGTTCAGCTATGTTACTATTTATAATGTTATTGTTGTTACATCAGAAGATGTACATACCTGCATGTGCCATCCAACCTCTGCAGCTCATCCAGAATGCAGCGACTCGTCTGGTCTTCAACCTTCCTAAATGTTCCCACACCACGCCGCTCCTCCGCTCCCTTCACTGGCTTCCGGTAACTGCTAGAATCCACTTCAAGACACTGGTACTTGCGTACCATGCTGTGAATGGATCTGGCCCTTCCTACATCCAGGACATGGTTAAACCATACACCGCAGCACGTGCACTCCGCTCTGCATCAGCCAAACGGCTCGCTGCACCCACACTGCGAGGGGGACCCAAGTTCCCATCACCAAAAACACGTGGGTTTGCTATCCTGGCTCCAAAATGGTGGAATGAGCTCCCCATTGAAATCAGGACAGCAGAAAGCCTACACATCTTCCGGCGCAGACTGAAAACTCATCTCTTTCGACTCCACTTCGAGCAATAAAAAAAGAAAAAAGAAAAAAAAGAAAAACTACTTATATACTACAGTAACTAAGCACTTATATACTAATAAAGGGCTGGCTTATCTAAAACCAGTTGAGTAGCACTTGAAATGTTTTAGCTCTATGAAACCTGATTACGTACTTATATGATTCTCTTTTCTTCAAGTCTGTATCTTCTTGGTCGAATGCACTTATTGTAAGTCCCTTTGGATAAAAGCGTCAGCTAAATGCAATGCAATGTAATGTAATGTATGCACCCACACTCACTAAAGTACATTTGTTACATGTGTCGACAATAAGTAGTAGATTCTTGTGAGCTGTGTGCAGGTGTTAGTGGTCAGGGTACCCCTGGTGCTCAGAGTGTACCTCCATTCTGCTCCATGCTCTCCTTCAGGCTGCCCAGCAGCTCTTTAGCCTCGGCTGCAGAGTCTTCATTATTAGCATCTTGATCAACATTCCTCACAGTATCCTCCTAGAAGATACAAATGGAATTTTACGTCCATTATTTGTGTTTTGTTAACACTAGCACAGGTTTGTTTGCCTGAGGAGAAGCTCACCAGTTGTGCGATGGTTTGAGAGATGGTGTCCTTCAGTGTGATGTGATGGAGTTTATAGTGTTCACAGATCTGTCTGGACACCAAGCTCTTCCCCACCGCAGGAGGACCCAGCACACACACACGGATGGGCTGCAGAAAACACACTAACACCAGTCATCATCAAATCAAAGCAAGCTTTATTTATATAGCACCTTTCATACACAGTGCTAACACAAAGTGCTTCAAAGAAACACACAGACAATTCACAAATAGAAACAATACTAACTCCCCCTTCCAGGTTAATAATCAGTATAACACATAGCTTTGCGATTAAAACAAATATATATAGATGTATATATATGTATCAATACATACTGTATATACATACATATACACACACTAAAAGAAGAATACAAAACAATTCAGTTAAAAGCAAATTAAAAAGGTGGGTCTATAGTTTGCTCCTAAAAGTATGAGTGCTCTGCTGCCTCAGGCCCTCGTCTGGGGGTTATTCCACAGTCGTGGGCCGTGATAATAAAAAGACGCCTCACCATGGGTCTTTGTATTCACTTTTGGTATGATTAAAAGACCAGTACCAGAAGACCTGAGGGTTCTAGAGGGCACAGAGGTTAAAAGCAAATCCGATAAATAGCTAGGTCCAAGACCATTCAGAGCTTTAAAAACCAATACAGGTATTTTCAACATCATGTACAACTTTGGTCTTCTGCTGCCTGTCTGCTTCAGTACGTACCAATAGTCCCCTGCTCTGCTGATACTCCTCCACCACCAGCTCCATGTTCTCCACCAGACCTGACTCACACAGCCAATTGATGGAGAACAGCTCCTTCAGGTGGACCGCCTCCATACGCAGGTTGACCAGCAAGGAATCCATTTCCATGACCTGTGAAGACCAAATCACATTTCAACAGAGCTTAAAGGAATCATATCACAGCTGGGTAAATATGCTCTTTCACTATAACCTTTCTTGGTTGAATTACAAGATATCATTCTCATGTCTGTGTGTACTGAACCCAGAGTCCTGCACGGGTCTGATTTTCAAGACCCGCTCCCGCCCCGTACCCGCGACGTGCAACACCGAACCCGCCCCGCTACCCGCACATATTACCAATTAGTTCCGCAACCCGACCCGACCCGTCGGCAGAAGAGCTGCAAACCGATCCGAACCCGCATATATATATGAGCAGTGAAAACGTGCAATTATTAACACACGCAGTTGCATATTTGTCTCAAAAAGCGTGGGATTTTGGTTATTTTCTCCATCTAGGATGACACCAAAAGCCTCCCAGACGTTGGATTTCGCTCTTGAGGAAGTGTTATTGAAAATGCTGTATTCTCCGCTAGAGAGCTTCACTTCAGCCATTTCGAATGTAGCACGCTCATTAGCAGTTCGATGCGCTGCGGAGGTTATGATTATGCGCGGCCCCGCGGGGGAGAGGTCTGAGGATTTAAACATTCAACTAAATTATTATTATTTTATTATATTTTATTATGCAACACCCACGACCCGACCCGCATCATCTTTGTTTTACCCAGAACCGAACCAGGAAAAAAGCGTTTGAAAAAATACCACCCGCGAATCACTTTTTTTGCGGGTCATACCCGACCCGATGCAGGACTCTGAGAACAGTCAGGATGTGGTTAGTAGGCTTGGGCGGTATCATTTTTTTCATACCGTCATACCTTGCTGACATCATACCGTGGTATACGGTATATGACGGTATGACTTGGGTCGACTTGAGCGAGGTGGCGTTCGGCGGCAAATAGATGTTTCGAACGGTATATTATATGTTCGGTGTAAAATGCAGCCCGAGCCGGTAGACGCTCGCAAAGTGCCGCGACATGCGCGCAAGTGCAAAACAAGGGCTGCATACATGACACATTGTGCAAATGGCACATTTTGAGATCGGATACAGGACGCGTTTGTAGATGTCCGACGTTGTTTCCATTGTGAGCTAAGTTAATAACTATATCATCATACATAAACATTTTCCGGGCAGTAAATGCTGACTTATTGAATAAAGTTTGCTATATTCACTAACTAGTTTGGCCAATATATATTCCGGTGCATTTGTTAAAAACCTTTATTCCATTTTGATTCATTGGATTACTCGCGGGGTCTGAATGTTTAGCACGTAATGCTTTCGGGTTTTTAAAACCAGTCGACCTCCAGCTAAAAACCATCAACCAGTTGCATAGATTAAAAAATGTCCAACACTCACTCACCCATCTTAAACATTCCCCAAGAATGCTCTGTCTCTCGTTGTGACTGGGTGAAATCATGGCGACGAGTAAACCCAAATAGTCCCAAACAGGCGCAGAGCATTTTTCTTTTTTACTAGTTGTCGATTCAGGGGCCGGCGAAATGCTACCGTCCATCTTGCTCAGCTCAACCTCTTTGTGCTGAGCTCTGAGAAGCGGAAAGACGGACTGCCCTCCCTGCCCTCTGCATGGCGCGTGCTGTGCATTACAACCAATGATCGTCCCTATC